TTTCTAGATGTAAGTCAAGATATGAGGCAGACTTAACTGTATCTGTAGTATCCTTTATCTCTAGTTCGATGGGATAGATTCGTTTAACATAGTCACCAAATTTTGTATTATTTAGTGAGAGAACATCATCTATATAGCGGAACGTAGAGTTAAAGGATATTGCTAACTTCTTATCTTTCTTCCTAAGAAGCTCCTGTATGAAGTCAGCCTCATAATAATAAAGAAACAAGTCGGCAAGAAGAGGGGCACAATTGGTTCCCATTGGAATTCCGACAGTCTGTTGAAAAACACGTCCTCCAAACATAACAAATATGTTGTCAATCAAGAAATCAAGCAACTTACGAAGGTGTCATTCTGATTTGCCTACATTTAATTGCAGATTAGAACATAAGGTGTTTTGTTATATTAACAATGGGAGTCTATTTCTGACTTGCATTCATATCAGGTTTATTACCTGTAATATTTTATTAAGTATACAGAACTCTATTTGTATACGCCCGTTTACGGGACGTATTATAGTATACCGTTGTCCGTCGGTTTGTCGTCAACATGTCGGACAGTAACTCAAAAACCCTTTAACCAATTTACAAGAAACTTTGATGAATTAATATACAATTACATTAGGTTCCTTTCGATTTTTATAAATTTTAGAGTTTACGTTACCGAGTTACGTAGTTTTATTTATTAAATTCAGTCTTTTTGAAAACCTCTTTTTCTTTCCAGTGCAGTAAGAGATGGATGTTAAGACTTCGAATCTTCTAAAAATAGCTGATCACTACATGATAACTCAACATGAAGAACATGAAGAACATTTTTAAAATCATCCCCGAAGAAATACTCGGAAACAGTATCTCTGATGCAAATTTTAACTAATTCTCCATATGCAGAATTTCTTAAAAGCTGAGAATAAAATTTCAAGTAACTTTTAGCCCGCTTAGCTAAGGATGCTGTTAAGGTAAATATATAATTGCAGAGTGATCTGTCTTGTATTCAGAAATAATAATGGTTGATTCCATAAATGTGAAAAGGTCTCTGAAGCTGACAACGTACCCGCTGCAACAACAACGCGTGGCTCAGGCTTTAGTTTTCTATGGTATGGTTTATATACTGTTGTCTTTTGATCTTTTTTTTTACCATGGCGTTGTCAATTCATTTTCTACTTAAAAGTTTGAATGTCCCATCGGTATCTTTCGTCTCTCTATTAACGACTACATGACAGATTTTGGGGTTGGATGATACCGCTTTTTATAGAACCACTTTTTGACCAAATGACCCGGCACTACCGACCACCTGGAAGTTGGCACAACGAGATAACGAACAAACTTCATAATGCTCACCCAAACATCCACGAGATCTTCCAACTAGTCAAGAAGACCAAGGCATTAACAGAATATACAAGTATCCAGTTAGCCCATCCAACAAAAACACGCCACTACTGTGTATTTTGGACGAGACTTCAGCTTCTAAACGACAGACATACGTGAAAATACTTTTTGAGAGCATTGGATGTCACTGCTACTTTTAAAGAGTTCTTATAGTGCGGGAACGACAAAAATGAATTTAAAATTATAAAGAGATAAAACTCAAGAACGGCTAGTGACTCACTGCCTAAATTCGAACTCCGTCTGCGAGTTTTGGTTTTTAGCTTTGTTCATGACGAAAACTGAAGTAAGATAGCGGAAAGCAAGAAATTGCAATAAGTAATAACGGGCCGTAACTCTATGAGAACTTTTAACGCTTAATGCCCCCTTCGTCCAGCGGTGTTGACATACACACATATTTTATAAATTACATGTGCGTCCGAAGTGTATTATTTATTAGTGTATTTGCATCATTATCACTGATAATTTTGAATGATGAATCATGAAGGCACTTTTGTAAATGCATGCCTTTTTGTTTGTTTTTTATTTATTATTTGTATGTTAAATGAATCCATTGAATTGTCATTAGATTCTGAATAACCATCGAGATGATGACCGAAGACAGCAAACCGTCATATAACCCGATATAAACATAATACAAAGATAACGAACACGTGTATTTTGATTTTATTCTAGGATTGTTTTATTTCATGTTATTGTTTAAAAGAAATAAATCATCGTTTTCATAAATGCTGATTCACATGAGGTCGAATTATACTTGCAACGTTTTTGAGCTTACTTTGACTAAGTTGGTCCAAATTAACAACATATAACGAAATATTATCCCCCCCCCCTAATCCCCCCGCTTTTAATAATACCTTAAAGTTGAAACGGAAGAATCGTATTTTTATTATTTGTCTAAATCGTAGCGAATGTCCCTTTAACAAGCAGATGAATGAGCCTCTCGATAACTGTCCAATTATATCAATCCACCATGTCAACTCATGAATTTCAATCAAAATCATAGCGTGTCCATCCTTTAAATATGTTCACGTTGCAAACATAAACGCAATTATTCGGCTACACTACAAACACATGGTAACAACATTAAGCTTATTAAAGGGAATTATATTGTACAAGATGTATTTTCATTTAATTATCAACATTTTTTCAAAGTTATTCAAAGGAAAATTTATTTGAGTATGACAAATCCTTTCAGCAAGTAGCCTATCACCTTTTTTTTTACAAAACTACCGAGATATATACTATGCTAATATACCACAGTTTTTTAGGCAACTGTCTTGATGTCGTTTAAACATGCTAAGGATGTTTTGAAAAAAAATATTCAAACATTGTTGTTCAATATTGGACTGTGATTAATCGATAGAATGGAAAAGAACATGAAACGACAATTTAAATAAAGAATGAATAAATTACATTCTTAATATATTATTCATACTAATCGATCTTTTGTTTTTTTTCAGAATTCGTATTGTTTATCTAAGAAATAAGTCCAGGTTAAACCATAATTTGGTATATAATTCTAAAAGCTTAAGATGCGTTACGGGACGGACTTTTACGGACTGTTTATATATACTGACTATAGCATAATGACATAACAAAGAATCGAATCGAGCATCATACCGTTTACTTATTAAGTGAGGTTAAAAGTCCAGGTTGAACCTATTAAATATAAATAAAACATTCTCACTTCAGAATTGATTATTTTTTATTTTTTTTCAAACCAAACTTCGACAGTGTAGTTAATAATTCACCTTTGAAAAGATGATGGATACATTTGATTACACGAAACTGTAAAAGGTTGTTGTCAATACAGTTATCATGCATTTAATAATGAAATATGTAAAGATTTAAAAAAGCAGATTGGGTTGATATAAAAAAAAATCGATTCCAGAAATTATGTTGCAGTCAATTCTCCCATTCGAAATGCATCAATACAAAAGGAAGATAAACGTTCAGATAGGTTGGGGATGTTGAGTAATGACATTTAATGGGATATCTCTATTATACCATAGTTCAAATAATGTTGACGCTTTATTCATTTAAAATTCTTTCATTTAAAACTTGTTCATTAATCAGATGGGATTTCAATATGGTGACGTGGATATGATTGTTGAAATAGTATAGCATTTTATGTAAATATTTAAAAGCTGATGAATAATAACGTGAATTTACCACTTTCAACATAACGATTACATTCTAAAATAAACAGAAACGCATTAAAGGTAAGTCTATTCATTCTTAAAAATTAAAAAAAAAAAAAAAACAAATTCATGATCTTGTTGATTTTGTTGTGTAGTACGGGCATATAATCCTCAAGGTTCATCTGGATCTCCAAGCTAACTACACCCCTACATTTTCCAATAGCGCAGACCAATCCTTGCATTTATAATCTGAAACTTAAGTGTTTGTTTATTGTAGTATCTTATATAAAAATGAAGAAATGTTGTATGATTGCTAATGAGACAACGATCAACCAAAGTCGATACGAAGTGCATGTTAGCAATTATAATTAACCATAGTCCTTCAACAATGAGACAAACCATACTGTATGGTTGGCTATGAAAGGCCACGACATGACAAATATGAATCTATTTCAATTGAGGAAACGATCGGCCTGATTTATGAAAAAATAGTTAGTGGCGTAACAGTACAACATAAGATCAAACTATAAAAATCAGTTGAAAATGTCTTATGCAGTAACGAAAAATAGTGCACAGCAAGATCCAGTGAAATTTGAATTTTCTGGAGCATAAAATGCATTTGAAATGTCACACCATGACTTAAAAATGTCCAGATGCAGTGGTTTGTCTGCATTCAGAGTACAATTTGTTGTGTTAAAATTGCAATTTTATGATTAATGTCTCCAGACACATTTTATAATAAGTAAATCATGTATAGATGAGTTATCTCCAGACACATTTTATAATTAGTAAAAAATGTATAGATGTTAGAGGTACCTAGGCGAGCACTTAACGTGTAGTGGCTAGTTGTTGATGTATATTCAATAGCATTTGCGCTCAGAAATATTTCAAAACTCAACATATCAAATTTTGTAACCAGTACATGACAATAGTTACCCTGATATTTGTATGTGATATTATTTTTTTGCATTCCTAAGTCAAGGTAAAGAGTTTTGTTACCCAATCTTTTGATATGTATAACAATAATTTGCATGGTCTCACTTTAAATATATAGAAACTATCGATTACTTGGTTAACATTTAGCCTCCGATGGTATCACCTGCAAAGTAGTCAACATTCCTGTGTTGATATGAAATATAATTGATAGATTCATTTCCTGAAAATCACTGTTTATAAAATATGGAAATATTCGAAATTTTAATGGTTTCCTACTACCAAAACAAAGATAGCCTTATTCGTATTTGACACAACTGTTTGAAAGTTAACTTTTCAATACTCTTCAACTTCGTATTGAATTCTCCGTCCAACAGTTTTGGTTGATATTATGTAGACTTGATAGATTTTCACAACCACTAGGTCCATTTCTACCCAGTGGACATTTCGTCCCCGGATGACAGCACCAATGTATTAGTCAGCATTTCTGTATTGATGTAAAATATCATTAATAGGTTCTCATAAACATGTTTAACCCCGCCGCATTTTTGCGCCTGTCCCAAGTCAGGAGCCTCTAGCCTTTGTCAGTCTTGTATTATTTTTAATTTTAGTTTCTTGTGTACAATTTGGAGTTTAGTATGGCGTTCATTATCACTGAACTGGTATATATATTTGTTTAGGGGCCAGCTGAAGGAAGCCTCCGGGTGCGGGAATTTCTCGCTGCATTGAAGACCTGTTGGTGACCTTCTGCTGTTGTCTGTTCTATGGTCGGGTTGTTGTCTCTTTGACACATTCCCCATTTCCATTCTCAATTTTATCTTTTTGTTTAAATTAACCTGTTATAAAATATTGATAAATAAAGGCAACAGTAGTATACCGCTGTTCGAAAGTCATAAATCGATTGAGAGAAAACAAATCCGGGTTACAAACTAAAACCGAGGGAAACACATCAACTATTAGAGGAAAACAACGAAACAGCAGAAACACTGAAGTGCAACATAAAACAAACGATAATGCAACACACACAGAAACGAACTATTAGATAACAGTTACCATTTTCCTGACTTGGCACAGGAAATTTTAAGAACAAATGGTGGGTTGAACCTGGTTTTGTGGCTAGCCAAACCTCGCACTTTTATGGCAATGTTAAAAATAACACTAAAATGACAACATTACACAAAAGGAATACAGTACAAATAAATGCAAGAACATTCAGGAAAGAACTATTCGAAATATTTAGATTTTGCAATGTAAAGATTGCATCAGTCTTATTTGTTGGTAATTTGACAATATGATTTGGACATACAAATTTCTGAGTCAACGATTCATCATGAAAATCTTAAATTCACGCTGAGTTTACTGAAAATGGATTTTGATATGCACGGTGTATCTTTCAAAATATACGAGATAAGGGCCATCCAATGGTTAATGAACACTAACATTTTATATTAAAAATTGCAGATTATGTTATAAAACCAAAACCTACATTTTCGTGAATAACATATACATCTATTCAAACGATCCAAAAATTAAAACAAATAATTCAGATTGATTAAATTGTCCTCAATAAAGACAAGAGCTTTTCACTCATTGCTTTTGTAAATGCACACGTAGCTGCTGTGTATTTTCGTACATAATGCTAAAAACAGAATAATTAATAACAAGAATTATCATATACTGCAACATCTTATTGAAAAGGATGCAGTTTGTTGTGCTGTGCTTGTTACAACAAAAAACAAACACATTATGAAAAGCTTGGCCTCTTGAAGTAAAAATGGAACAAGCATATTTGGTGAATAAATATATAATGTAAAAAAAACCCAACACAAACACAATATGTTCGTTAATTAGAAATCTTGATCAAATGTAAATGTTCTTTAATTGACAGATTAACTCTAAGTCCAAGTTGGAAAGATGAAGATGCAAAATGGTGGATGTGTAGTAATTTTGATATATCTGGTATCACTTTTCAAAGAAAGTTATTCGATATCTTATAGGAATTTTGATACGTTCTTCAAAAATATAACCGGTGGTAAAAACATAAATTTGCGGCCAGTCCTTGACCATAAATCGAAAGTGAACATAAATATGTCTTTTCATTTAATATATATCCAGGAATTTAACGAAGTTGAAGGAAAACTAAGTTTAACTGGATACTTTAATATAAGTTGGGTTGATCAGACTTTATCTTGGAATAGCACAGAAAACGGAATCGAACAATTTACTTTCCAAGAGCATATAATTTGGAAACCATCTTTTATTATTGGAAATCCATATGATGGTGTAAATTTAATTTATAAAGACGAAAATGTGATGAGAGTACAGAGTAATGGTGTTGTTACATGGACCCCCGGAGATAATTATGAGGTATTCTGTAATGCAGACGTTTCGAGATATCCATTTGATACACAGATTTGCAAACTTGAGATATTACCATGGGGATACACAAATGAGGAAATAGTTGTCGTTCCGATTTACGATTATGTTGTGCAGTTGTGGTTCAACCCACAAAAAACATGGGAATTTATTGATTCAAGTGTTACTAAAAGAGAAGACATTCAACTCTTAGAATTTGCCATGAAACTAAAACGCTATCCCATGTTTTTTGTTCTAAATCTAATTCTTCCCATTTGTGTGATGATTATTTTAAACATTTTTGTGTTTTTACTTCCACCAGAAAGCGGAGAAAGAGTTGGATATGCTGTAACTGTACTCTTGGCAATCACAGTCTTTTTGACTATTTCATCTGACAATCTACCTGCAACGTCAAGTCCACGAATATCTTCAATATCTCTTCTTCTATTTGCCGATGTTTGCATTAGTGCTTTCATTGTAATAATGGTTATTGTGAGCTCACGATATTATCACCGGGAGGATAAATACCCGGTCACTAAGTTTATGCGGGGATTTGTAAATGTTTCAAGAATAGTACGCTGTAAGATGTGTTGTTGTAGGAGAAAAAAGGAAAAGTATAGTGAAAAGGGAAACAAAGAGGAAATTAAATGGACCGAAGTCGGAAAGGAGATAGACATTGTATGCGGTATATGTATAACTGCGGCAATATGCATTATCAATGCTTTGTATATCATAGATGTCGCAGTGTGATTACCGGGTTTACATTAATCTAATCATTTGTTTCATAATTTGCATGCAATATATCTTCCAAAAAGGACATGAACTACAAGGACTGATGTTAAAAAAATGAATATTCTATCGTGGTATTTGTTTTAAGCACAAATAGAAATTTCTAAAGGACAGTGATATTCAAGTGATTATATCGTCTATTCTATGTGATTATTCTTCTATCATAATTATGATTTGTTATATAATTTGACGCTCGTGACCAGAACAAACTCACCTTATTAGAGAAGCGATTTGTGAAATAATGTTGAAATTGCATATATAAATATTACTAGAGCGGGACACAATTTGATGATGACTTGTCAAAACAGGTTGCGGTATAATAAAAACAGTGACTTTTATAGCTGCAGTTAATAGACGAGATTTTAAACAAGAGGCTATCAGAGTGACAGCAAATCGATTTTCCTGCAGAGGTTGAACCCTGAACAGTTGAGCAAGTATGGGCACTACATTCAAGCTTAAAACTGCTCCGAATTTAGATTGTGATTGAATATTTGACACAGCATAGGTTTGTGACACAAAATGAATGTGGTCAAAGTACTGAAATATTTGAAATTGGACATTTACCTATTATGGTCCAATATCCAAAATCTAAGTACATTGTCAGAATCAGCATATCAAAGAAATCCAAGATTTCAATTTTTGATGTAATCAAACAAAAGTTTAATTTAGGACCCTTTGGACCAATTTGATAAAGGAGCCCACAATCCAAAATCTCTCAATACATGGTTAGATTCAGCATTTCAAGGAACCACATCAATTCACTTTGTTTCTCAGCTAGGAATTATCTATATAATTTACAGGCATTTGCATTTAGCACTCTGTAAAATGCATGCAAACTTAAGGCATTTTATAGATTGGCTAAATTAATTTACAGAATGATACGTTCACAAAAACTGAGCTTTTGAAGGTATTAAATAACAGAGCTGTTTTAATTATGATTTTCCATATTTGCAAAGACATCGTTTAGCGTAAAATTTGTCAATGAATTTATCACGTAACCCAAAACCATGACACATTCAGCTCTGGCAATACTTTTTCGGACAAAACGCTAAACGTTTGAAAAACATCAACATGTACGAACTTGTTTTTTTCACGTGTTTCCAAAAAATATAAAGTTACTTTAAATTGATTAGGTTGACTTATATCCCGCGGCTAAATCCGAGCTTTCAACAAGCAAAAGTAGATCTTTGCATGGCGGGTGATGCATGCATATAAGACGACGATCATTCGACGTGCATTGTCTCCCTCCTTATCGTGTTCTTCGATTCCTTCAAGTCTTGTTTGAAATCCTTGATTTGTCTCATCTTGGTCGAATCCCGAGATTTTAACGTGTGTAGGCTATTTTCGGCTTAATTGGTAAGATTGGAAAGACTCAAATGATTCCCTTGGGACAGTTATCACAATCAAACACGGTGTTGTATGGTGAAAATCATTCTGTAAATGGAAATCTAGTTTGCTGTGTAGCTTGTCTTAAATTCGCAATCTTTCTGAATGAGGACATTAAATCCGATGCCTCATATAAGGAGAGTGTCGCTCTCTCTCTCTCTCTCTCTATTTGAAAGCAACATTTCTGTCCCTGTATACTAGTACTTGATAAGGTTTCTACATTGTTTATGATAATTATGTATAATAAATATATGTACAGGTACATTGGTGCAAATGAATACCGTATATTGGCGCTAATGATACCCTTGAACAATAATATTTGGCGCAAATGATACATCCCAAGAATAACTATTCGCGTAAAAGGACTGCTGCCTAATTTAACTGATAAATTATATCCGTTTTCGAAATTATAAAAACCTATAAAACTTATCTGTAATTATCTTCAAAGTGGCTGATAATGAACAGTAAATTTTAAACTTCATTTATACAGTCCTACTAGAAAATTTTAAACTTTATATATACAGTCCTACAGATCTCACCAGGAAACAGAAAGTTTTCAAAGAAATCTGTCACTCCAATTATCATCATAGGCTAAGATATTTATACATATATAACAGTTAGTAATGTAATTAACTTCAAAATGTCTAATGATATAGCTTATAATCATCACCACTAAGGAAATAAAAAAAATTCAAATAAATCTGTCACTCCAATTATAATTGTGAGATAAGACATTAACCATATGCTTAACCTTAGTCATAATATGATAACAAGAGAAAAATATTTAAAAATACCACATTTGGATATTTAAAATGGCGATAACTCAAAAAGGAGAAATACTAAAATCGTGAAAATTGAACTTGACCTTCATTTAGTCACAGGAAACAACATATTTAAATTTGAAAAATAAATTGTCTAAACGTTTTTATATTATTGTGGAGACACTGTTTAGCAGCCGCCCGACCGCCCGCCCGCCCGCCCGCCGTACATCCCTAAATCATTAACCGATATTTCCTTCGAAAATCCGGTTAAAAACGAAATACTTATACTTTAACCAATTGCAGTGCGTCTGTCTAATGTCTTTTACAGACTTTTTGATAGTCCAAGTACTAAGATGATCCTAAGGTGTTTCACAAGTAATCGGAAAAATGTTCAAAATAATTTTTATTAACAACGAATGGCAATATATGTAAAACACAATTTAAAATACAATATTTTAACATTTGTTTTATTGCCATTGGAATTTAGACACACGAATATCCGCTTACTAAAGCGTAACCCTTTTATTTGCAGTTGATTTGATTTATACTATAAAATGATAAATTATGTGTCTTAATTCTATAATAAGATTTTTAAACAATAGTTTATAATGTATATTTTTTCTTCTTTTTCAAATCTGAATAAATTATATATAGCATCAATTGTCATAATCTTTTTACATAAATGACATACCTACATTTTAAAATGAAATATATAATCTCATATTTGTTATTTAACAATTTAATTCAAATACAACAGAATATAATTTTCTAAATATTTACTATATACATCTTTGAGAATTATGAGCAAGTATCATTCTCACAAAATTCATTCAAGCAAACTCAGAACCAGTTTATCGACATTGAACGCAGAACAAAAGTACCTCAGATCAGGCATACACAGAGATTCGTACAGAAATATGTTCTATCGCAGAAAAATAGAAATCTCTTCCTGTTCCTAAAGGAAACCACAAGACACTCGTTAATATCTGATATTACCTTGCAATTAAGTTCATGTCAGATTATACAACAGCTGTGATAAAAAAGTTGATGAGTTATAAAAGAGACAATTTCTCATCACTTTGACGCTGTCCAGTGAAGTAACCATTTTTCAAAATCTACGTTGAAACTAATATCTTAAGTGATTAAAACAAGTCTTATATAAATAAAAACCAATTGTACAGAGAACAATTGAAGGTCTTTCCACAAAAAAACATGTATTTTAATATGAAAATAGTAAAATTCATTTTAAAATGTCATTTCCAGCTTCAAATGATAGCTTATTGTAGACTGATTCCAAAAACATATGGTTTCTATACAATATTTTTTTAATAAGGGAGATAATTTGTTACTTCCGGTTTGAAAAATGTTACTTCCGGTATTATTCAAACGTTTAATTGATACTGATACCAAAAATATCTGGTTCTATAAACTTTACATTAATTAAGTACAAAATAAAGCTACTTTCGGTTTACACAAGGTCACTTCCGGTTGGCTTTTCTAAGGTTGAATGGCTTGAAACCTAATGCAAAAAGTCCCATGGATTTATCATGTATACATATGAGGTAAAAGCAAAGGTCAAAATCTAGAACGTCAATTTAACCTATGACCTTGAGCTCAATTTCAAGGTCATCAACCAAGGACCTCAAATCAAAAGACCCTAGATCTTAATTATATTTGGTTCATGAGTTATATTACCATATGCAAATTTTTAAATAAAAGAGGGGAGAAAACTCTAATTTGATGTAAGCGTACCCTTTAAACCAAAATGTATGTGCTATGACATGTCGCAACTAACAATTAAGTAAAAATATGTTGTCGATATCTTATATTCTGTTTGAAAAGAGGTGAAAATAAGCCAAAATCCAAATTTAAAAATGACCTTGACCTTTGACCTTGACCCTATTTTCTTTTTTTGGACCAAGGACCTCACATCAAAAGACCCTAGGTCCCTATCACTTATGGTTTACCAATTACAATTGCATTTTACTTATTTTAAATACAGAAGGGGAAATAACTCTCATATGGAGTTTCCGGACTGTTTCGGTCAAAATTATTTTTAAGATTCTGAGGATATAACGAACAAATTGTAGACATAAATTTGTCATAATCTTTTACGATTGCGAAGGAGATGCGTACACAAGAAAAACAGTGTTTGGGGAGATAACTCTTACAATAAAAAGTATTCGGCTAAACAGGGTCAGTTTCAAAATCGCAATAACTGTTTGATATCATACAAAAAAAATCTAAGCGACATCTTGCGAAACAAAAAAGCACCGTCAGAAAAAAGTGGCGGAAGAAGAAAAAAATAATAATCAGAAGAAAACCAATAGGTCTTTCCACAGAAAAGTGGAAAGACCTAATAAGACCGTATGAATGGTTTTACACTAGTCATTTTTTGGCCCTTTATAACTTGCTGTTAGATGTGAGCCAAGACTCCGTGTTGAAGATCGTGCTTTGACCTATAACGGTTTACTTTTACAAATTGTGTCGTGGATGGAGAGTTGTCTCATTGACACTCATACCAAATCTACTTATATCTACTTATAGTTTGTATTCATATTCCCTCCTATAATCGTATAAAATATTACCTAAATTCGATGTCTTTCGCCTCTTTTTTATACCTCTTTCTGTTATCATTTCCGCCAAAAAAAAAAGCAAAATAGAGTAATATAAATTCATATGTCAAGGACAACACGGACAACAAGTCCTAAAAGGAATCAATTGACACTTTCGGATTTGTTGGCTTATTTGAATAACGTATTCTGCTGAATGTTTTTGCTTTCAGCCTTGTGTTTGCAAAAAACACAAAAATATTAAAATTCGTTTTCTAAGGACAATAACCCCTATAATAATTCAGATAGCAATTGCAGGCATGTCAACCTACTGTTACATCTTATTTTACTTATCTCTTTAATTATATGAAGATTCTCTCTTTATGATAGCTTCATTTAATTGAGTAAAACTCGGCGTTCAAGGGCAGAAGCCAAAAATAAAAAAAAAAACAATCATTTGACGATTTCTGCCACGTTGATCGTTTAGTAGATCCTATTGTGCTAGACAATATATCTATCAAAAGTTTCCCTCTATCTATCAAAGTTTCTGCAAGCAATGGTGGAGCCTTTCAAGTACAATGTCTTTTTTATGTGGGTTCAGTTGACAATTTCAACAATGTTGACCTATTTAAGATCTTATTTTACTGATCATTTATGCTATATAAAGATTTTCTCTATGTAAAAAAATGGAAAAAATACCGTTCATGTTCTCCGAGTAGACTCAAATTTATCTGATTTATAACATACTAAAACGTATCTAAATTACAAGGTGTCATCCTTGTTTGCCTACATTTAATTGCAGGTTAAAACATAAAGTGTTTTGTTGTCTTAACAATGAGAGTTTAATTCTGACTTGTAGTCATATTTTTTACCTGTAATATTTTATTAAGTACACTGAACTCTATTTTTATACGCTCGTTTACGAGACGTATCATAGTATACCGTTTTCCGTCCGTCTGTCCGTCCGTCCATCTGTCTGTCCATCCGTTTGTCGTCAACATGTCGGACAATAACTCAAAAACGCTTTAACCAATTTGCATGAAACTTTATTGAATTGTTTATAAAATTGAGAATGGAAATGGGGAATGTGTCAAAGAGACAACAACCCGACCATAGAGCAGACAACAGCCGAAGGCCACCAATAGGTCTTCAATGCAGCGAAAAAACTCCCGCACCCGGAGGCGTCCTTCAACTGGCCCCTAAACAAATATGTATACTAGTTCAGTGATAATTGACGTCATACTAAACTCTAAATTATACACAAGAAACTAAAATAAAAAATGATACAAGACTAACAAAGGCCAGAGGCTCTTGACTTGGGACAGGCTGAAAAATGCGGCGGGGTTTAACATGTTTTTTGAGATCTCAACCCTCCCCCTATACCTCTAGCCAATGTAGAAAAAACAAACGTTCAACAGTACGCACAGTAAAACTCAGTTTAAGAGAAGTCCGAGTCCGATATCAGAATAGGAAACAAAAGAAAATAAACAAAATGACAATAATACATAAATAACAACAGACTACTAGCAGATACTGACATGACAGCTCCAGACCTCAATTAAACTGTTTGAAAGTTTATGTCTTCATCATATATCTATTTACATGAGCTCCCTTTCGATTTTTATAAATTTTAGAGTTTACGTTTCCGTGTTTTGTGGTTGTATTAATTAAATTCAGTCTTTTGGAAACCTCTTTTTCTTCCCTTAATTTTTCAATGCAGTAGGAGATGGTAAGACTACGAATCATCATTATTAGAACCTCTAAAAATAGCTGATCACTACATGATAACTGAACATGAAGATAATTTTCTACATCATCTCCAGAGAAATACTCGGAAACAGTATCTCTGATTCATATTTTAACTAATTCTACATATGCAGAATCTATTAAAAGCTGAGAATAAAATTTCAAGTAACCTTTGCCCCGCTTAGATAATGATGCTGTTAAAGTAAATGTAATGGCAGAGTGATCAGTTTTGTATTCAGGAATAATAATTGTAGATTCCATAAATGTAAAAAGGTTTCTGAAGCTGACATCGCACCCGCAGCAACAACAACGCATTGCTCGGGCTTTAGTTTTCTATGTTGTGGTTTATTTACTGTATTCTTTTGATCTTTTTGTTTTGCCATGGCGTTGCCAGTTTATTTTCTACTTATATGTTTGAATGTCCGTTCGGTATTTCTAGTCTCTCTTTTACCGACTACATGACAGATTTTAGGGTTGGATTATACCGCTTTTCATGGAACCACTTTTTGACCGAAGGACCCGGTACTACCAACCACCTGGAAGTTAGCACAACGAGATTACGAAGAGACTTCATAATGCTCTCCTCAACAACTACGAAATCTTCTAACTAGTCAAGAAGACCCAAGCAATAACAGAATATACAAGTATCCAGTATGCAGAGGATGGAGCCCGTACAACAAATAAACGCCAATACTGTGTATTATACACAAGACTTTAGCTTCTGAACGACAGCCCCTAATAGGGACTAATCAATATAATGATCCAATAAAAGGTGAATGTGCCTGAGGACACGAATACCTCAGCTCAAGCCTGCTTATAATACGTGAAAATACTTTTCGAGCGCATTGGATGTCACTGCTACTTTTAAAGACTTCTTATAGTGCGGAAACGAAAAAGTAGTTATATAAAGGGATCAAACTCTAGAACGGTTAGTGACTCAATGCCCAAACTCGAACTTTGTCTGCGAGTTTTGGTTTTGAACTTTGTGCATAAGGATAATTAAAGATAGAGTAAGGAAAGCAAGAAATTGCAATATTCCAAGTAATAACGGGCCATAACTCTATAATTATAAAAGGTAGGTGACTCACAGCTCAAATTCTGGTTCTAAGCATTGTGTATGAGTTTATTTTGGATGAGGCAAACTTAATTTAGAGTGCTGAAACGAAAATGGGATGAACGATCAATGGAACGTTTTTTAAAAACGTAATGTCCCCTTCGTCTAGCGGCG